TATCGATGCTTTCTGGGTTTTTGAGAATAAGTGGAAATTGTTTTAGTTTGAAACACAAGGAGGAATTTATGAAATATTTGTGGAATTAGCCACAATGTTATAAATGAATGAAAGAAAAATCTTGGGTGGAGGTCACTGAGTTAGAATAAAATAGAAAACAGAGTAAAACATATTTTCTTTTCACTCTACAGTTTTCTTCCCATCTTAAAGTTGGAAAATATGAGGGAGAAGAATAACTGTGCTTTTAAGATGTACAAAAGGAAACACATCGCCCAAATCTGTTTACTCTCATTCCAACTCTAGTAAGATTTCTTTCCTGTGTCCTGTTGACCCTTGTAAGTGCAGGAGACACTTGAAGAGGGGATATGCTGATTTTTGAGGCCCCATCATAGCCCGTGTGCTTATTCTGCTGCTATATGTGTGTGTAACTGGTGAATAAGCCAGTAAAAACTTTAAAAAAAATTGTGTCACCTGGCATGACTTTATTCATTTAAAATTTAAAATGAGTTTGTTTTCAGAAAGGTCACATATATAAAATAAATGAAGCAGGGATTTCCTACTGGAATTTGTTTGTAATTCATATTGGTTTTCTTAGCTGTGAAGCTGAGTCCTGGTGTTCTCTGGTTCTGTTCACTTCTTAGGCTGGAAGAACTGCAGAGCTTTCTCTTGTACAAAAACAGGCTGACCTATCTTCCTCACTCCATGCTTAACCTAAAGAAGCTCACCCTGTTAGTCGTCAGTGGGGACCATCTGGTGGAACTCCCAACTGCCCTTTGTGACTCATCCACACCGTTAAAGTGAGTAGCCCAGAGATCCCCAAATCCCCAAAGAGACACGTTCAGACACAGGTAAGGAGTTAGGAGCTCTGGAGCCGGGGCAGCTGTCTCAGGAACCGGATTAGATGGTTCTCGTACCCTGAGCACCTGAGCCCGGTTCACAGATGTTCTGACGACTTTACAGGATTTTGAAGTTTTTGGCGTATGGCTCAGAGGATTTCTGGACTGATGCTATGAGCTGGTTGAAGGTGCAGCGGGGCATGTGCCTGGGGGCCCCAGTCTGTCGCTCAGCGCTCATGTCACTGCTGGCCTGGAGTGGGCAGCAGCTGTTGAACAAATGCTCCCTGGTGGCCTCACCCTTCTTTCTGTTTCCTTAAACTAAATCACCCATAACTAAGAAAAGCCATCCACGCAAATGTGATGTAAACAGACGCCAATCTGGGATGAGAAGGAAATGGAATTGAAAATTCCCAGCTCCATTGTCCCCTAAAATGACTCCAAGGCAGCCGATGGCTCCCTGGTATCACGTCCTGCCAGAATTTGGAGCCTTGGGGTTCCCCCATCACCTCTACCCTGAGACCATTCTGTCTATCCCTAGCAGCTTGGGGCCTTCACAGGAGATAGCTCTAGTATCAGCCACCTTGTCTCTGTGTCCAGAGACCCATCTGCCTTGAATACCAGGTGCTTGTTAAAACCCCCACTGGAGGGAATATTTCCCTGGGACCCCAAGCTCTCTCAGTGGTGAATGCTCACTATCAGCGTAGACTCCAATCCTATCTTCCTGTCCTTGCAATAAGATGCATGGCAAACAAAGAGGCTTGACTATTGGAAACAGACCAACTTCACA